GCAGAGATAACAGATACACTGCTGATCAGTACGACAGAAGATCCTCATCACCTCATCATGATGATAGCAGATGTTCTCCTGGAGATTCTTGGAGGGGTCGACCAGATTGTGTCTCTTTAATGGTGGAGCATCATAGTGAGGTTGGAGGTGGTTCTCACAGTAGGAAGCCATACAGACCAGACAGGACTTGTCAGCTTTCCTTTTCCTCCCAGTGCAGACATCACAGGTCACATCTTCAGGTCCAGCAGAGCAGTGATCAGCAAATAGGTTTCCTGCATATTTAAACTTTTCGACTAAAACTTCTAACTTGGAGTTTTTTACCAGGACAGGCCTCAGGCTGAACTCTTTCCTGCACTGAGGGCAGCTGTAGATCCTCCTCTGATCCTCTACATCCCAGTGATCTGTAATGCAGTTCATACAGTAGCTGTGTCCACAGGGAATAGTCACCGGATCCTTAAATAAATCAGAACAGATGGCACAAGAGAAGTTTGTTCGTTCCAGCTGAAATCCTCTCCCTGCCATTTTAGCTCTTAGTAACACCTGTATGAGATTTACCTCCGTATACCTGGAACTAGGCAGCACACTGACGTTCAAAGGTAGAGCTTTCTGTGTTTCATATGAAGAAGAAGGAGGAGCTTCAAACCTTAGCAACGGAAAGGACGTAACACTTCCCTCTCTCTCTGTATGATCATACATGCAGACCAAAACAACAACAAGCCAACATCCCTTACTAATCAGCCATTATTTTTATATTAATCATATTTCCACTTGCTAAATAATTTACAGGTGTTGCAGAGATACAGAAATCTGACAATCAAAATACTGACTGTGTATCCGGGAACTATTTATTAAAAGGGTACTGATTAGCAACTTTATTGTAACAAAATGTTTAAATAAAGTTTTGTTTTCCATTATTCAGGTCAATATGCTCCTGTCTTGCTGGATCAACTTGGATCATTGTTTCTACCCCCATCTGCCTTGCGTGCACTCAGGGGTAGATTACCAATCTATTTGCTCTGGAGAACAGAGTTAGGTGCTTTTATATGTTGTTGCCAAAGTCTCCAGTAGCAGAACAAAGTTGCTAGATTTGGCGCTAGGAGCTTTTGTAAAATGAAATTGCTAGAGGGGTCTGAAAAGTCGCTAAATATAGCGACAAAAGCGCTAAGTTGGCAACATTGCTCTTTGGACCGTTTGTTTTCAAATGGTTTTCTGCTGGATGCTCAGTGCTGCAATGGTTAGCACTGCTGCCTTGCAGCAAGAAGGTACAGGGTTTGATTCCTGCCCCAGGGTCTCCCTGAGCATGTGTGGGTTCTCTCCAGGTACTCCAGCTTCCTTCCACAGTCCAAAAATTTTAATTGGCTTCTCTAAATTGTCCTTAGGTATGAGTGAGTGCGTGAATGGTTGTTTGTCCTGTGTGTCTCTGTGTTGCCCTGTAATGGACTGGCAACCTGTCCAGGGTTTACCCCGCCTCTTGCCTGCTGACAGCTGGGGATAGGCACCAGCACCCCTCGTGACCCCAATTGGGATAAGCGTGTCAGATAATGGATGGATGGTTTGTTGCTCTCTGTTTGGACTTTTCTGAACATGTGCAGCAAATTGACTGATCCAATATGGTGGAGATTGAAGGGACACACCTAATATTATAAGCGTTCTCATAGCATCTTAGCCAAAGATTTTTATCAAAAACATAATTATTGTGCACAAATAAGGAATAGTTGTATTTACCATACACATAACCAGAGTTTTATGGGGCCCCTAGGAACTTGGGGGCCCAAAGTAAATGCCTAGTATTGCCTAATTGTGAATACCCCTCCTCCTGCACTCTAATCATGACTCATTCACTGCAACTGTTGTCCTGCTTTATAGAGTGGTCTCTGGTTGAAAAACATTGCCAGATTATCGAAAACTATCATCTGGGAAAATATCCGGCGTTATTTTTCAGCCTGCCTGATATCGATTACGTCTCTTCCTATTGGGTTTCCTTATTCTGCTTTGCCAGGTTAGATATTCCCCTGGCTTCTGATCTCTGGACATCAACCTTGTTTCTGCTTCTAGACTGACACCTCCTGACAGTCCCCTGGAACTGTCAGTCTAAATCTGCCTCCCTCTGTTCCTCTTTGCGTCCTGTGCCCTGACAACTATTTCAGCTTCATTGGCTTCTACCAGGTTTTTTTCTCCACAGATACCTGCCAACTGCACAGGTTTGTAAAGCTCAAGATTAATCCATGTGTTTTCTAATGCGGGACATGTGGATAAAACCTCAACCTCAAACCAAGGGTTCACTTTAATAGCCTCTAAGGTCTACAATAATGTCAACCTGCTGTCACCACACTAGTACATTAAGAAGCCAAAGCTCAACATCCCCAATAGTGATGATTTCTGGCCTAAGATTGTTAAATGCCATTTATTAAATGCAGTTTTTTTAATCAATAAAGCCACATACCTTCTGGCTTAAGAAAGATAGCTCACATTTTGACTGACAGGCTAATAAATTAATAAGTCTTAAATATGCTCAGTCGATGATACCTACACAAAACTGTCTAAAATCCTTGCTGAATTCTATTACTTTATGGAGTTAATTAATACGATTCGGGCTCCAGCCTTCCTTCTCACTGATAATATGGCTGCGGACATACCTGCTTCCAGGTATGTCACATCCCAGAGTGGCATTATTCTCTCTCTTCTTTGGAAGACAAAGACATGAGTAAGTGCATTGATGCTGGCATTATCTTTTACTAGGCCTAGATTTTTTTACAGGGTCTTTACAGTACAACTGTTAAGAATCCATACTGTCTTTCCCTGCATTAATTCAGCTTTTGATCTTATTCATGGTGCATTTTCTCCCCAAACAAGTTCTTAGTAAGGTTTAATATCTCACTAGTATCACAAAAGGAGATGAATGGAAAACTGCTTCTAATATTCCTACTTGTCATTATGAATATCTGCATATGCCTTTTGTTTTGAGAAATGTCCCAGCAATGTTCCAAGAAGTGGGTAAGAAGATCCTTTTAGCTAAAGAGATAAGGTTAATCTTGGCTCAGGAGGTTTTCCTCCTCCACAACCTTCCATGGGAATAATTTCTGACAGAAAATCACAGTTTATCTCATGATTATAGAAGTTCTGCTAAATGTTGGGCATCTCTGTCAGTTTGGAACATATTTACTTGATAATTTGGGTTAGGCACCACATTCTTTGTGACCGTAGCATAATAAAACAACATTTCTACGATTAGCATACCTAAGATATTCCCTTTTATTTAGCTTATTCCACTTCACAGGATGATGATTTTGTTGATGGTGTTGCTAGTTCTCTACATACTGTCTTAGAAAATATAACTCCTTTGAAAAAGAAAACATTTGAAAACAGTTAGCAGTTTAATGCAGAGCTATGCATTTTGAAGCAAAATGCTAGAAAACTGGAGAGTAAATGGCAGTCTACATAGCTAGTCTGGAAAAACAGTTTACTTCTGTATAAGATGACCCTTTGTAAAGCAATTTAGCATTGCTTGGCATTAACAGAGGGGAATAAGAATAATCTTAGATTTCTTTTTAATACAGCTGCCGGACTCACCCACAGCCATAGCTCTGTTGAACTTGCCATCCCAATTGATTTCAGATAATAAAGTAAAAAATCTTTGCGTTATTTTTCAGACCTGTCATTTAAATCCCATATCAAAGAGGTTTCTAAAATTTCCTTCTTTCATCTGCAGAATATTGCAAAAATGAGAAATCTCCTGTCCAGGATTGATGCTGAGAAACCAGTCCATGCATTTGTTACTTCAAGGCTGGACTATTGTAATTCTTTACTATCAGGAAGTCCACAAACTGTAGTTAAAAGTCTTCAGCTGATCCAAAATGCTGCAGCAAGAGTTCTGATGAAAATTAAAAAGAGAGATCATATCTCTCCTATTCTAGCTTCTCTTAATGGCTTCCTGTTAAATCCAGAATTGCTCTCAATCTGCAAGTTTACTAGGGATTCCTAGAATTTCTAAAAATAGAATGGGAGGCAGATATTTTAGTTATTAGGCTTCTCTCCTGTGGAACCAACTACCAGTTTTAGTCCGTGAGACAGACTCCCTGTCTACTTTTAAGGCTAGGCTTAAAACTCCTTCTTAATAAAGCTTATAGTTAGAGTGGCTCAGGTTATCCTGAGCTATCTCTATAGTTAGGCTGCTATAGGCTTAGACTGCTGGAGGACATAGGGAACACTTTTCATAATTCTACGTAATTCTTCTCTATGGTCCCATTCTGCAGTATTTGTTAGTTCAATCTTCAACGTTATGCTCTCTCAGCTTTTTATCATAATAGCTTAATCTTTCCTGTTCCTGTTTGGCTGTGACACCATGCTGGTGAGAAATATCAGCTGTGCTGCTTCCATCAACACTTTTGTTTATAGATGTTGGAGCCTGTTTTCCATTGTAGTTCTGTTTTTCTGACTGTGACAAACTGTATGTGATATATATATATATATATATATATATATATATATATATATATATATATATGTATAAATAGCTGGAGAAAACGTGGAAGGTCAAGGCATCAGTGGTAACCGTGGTCATTGGGGCACTTGGGGCAGTGACCCCCAAACTTCAAGATTGGTTACAGCAGATCCCTGGAAATACATCAGACATCTCAGTACAGAAGAGTGCAGTTCTAGGAACAGCAAAGATACTGCGCAGAACCCTCAAGCTCTCAGGCCTCTGGTAGAAAAAGGCGGAAGACCACCCGCGATGGGTGAGGAAGAGTTTTTTTTTTATTTTTTTATGACTTATATTAGGGGAGACTTATTTAAGCATAAATGTAGCAAATATTGCACATGCTGATTTATATTGTTTTCCTATCTGAAGAACTGGTGCAGAAGGGTCTTAATAGATGCTGTTATAGGCTGGGAAATATAACATTACAGAAACAAAGAATAGCAAAACTGGCCACCTAATCATCAGCTCCAGTACTATAACTGTTGCCAGTGAATTGAGCTACCAGTGGTTATCACATCTTGGTCGTTTTTTCACTTCACAACATGAACTGAACAGGGCAGTGAGAGATATTAAAAAACTCCCATAAAACGTCTCTGCAACCTTACCGCGATATTTCTTCTGTGTCCCCTGATCTTTAATATTTAGGGAAACCTGGGTCAATCAAACTACATAAAAAAGTGCTTTTGTATTGCTCTGTAGTTAATCTCCTTTACATGGTGATAACAATGCAATAGTAAAAACTGTATAGAGAATAAATCATACTAATTAAATCCATACATGTAATGCTTTTTTCCCTCGTTATTCGTGATTTATATATATATATGTGCTCCATTTCTGTCCACAGATATATAAGGTTCTGTCCATTTGAAGCTTAAACCTTTTATTTCTCAGTATACCTCTAAAGTCCATGTGTTTGTGTGAGCATGTTTGAGAATAATCATGTTGTTCTAACATCTCCAAAACATCTCTGATCCATGACCCAGGAGGTTTGACAGCAGAATACAGAATCCTGTCGGGTAGCAACAGTAACTCACATGGAAACATGGACTCCAGAGGAAAGAAGTGAGCTGGATG